CTCCGCTTTGATTAGGGGACCGCGGTGACAAAGACCTGTTTGTCAAGTTGCGAGGGCTTCTTGGCCTTTCGCTTTTGAAGTCCCGGGGAGGCTGCGGCCGCCAAGTCCCCCAGGTCTGTCCGCCGTACGCGGGGCAGAGCAGCCGGGGACGCGCGTGGAGAAGCGCCGGCCCAGAGCTCCCGGAGGATGGATGGGGGCCGGGCAGGAGGCGAGAGGAAAGGAGGAGAGAGATTGGGGGAGCGAGGGAAGGAAGGACTTGAGGGGGGAAGGAAGGAAGGCAGGAAGAAAGGCCAGAAGGAAGGAGCGAGGAAGAACTGTTCTGTTTCCATTCCGGTCCCCCCCTCCTCACCCCGCCTCTCGGGCTTGACACCCCCTCCCCCTGGATCGCGGCACCCCTGTGTGGACCCGGCCAGGGCCCCGCAGATTCCGGAGAAATCGTTTACTTCCTTTCCAGCTGGAGGAAACAACTGTCCGGCTCCGGACGCTGGGCGGAACGCTGGCAACCGCCGAGGGTGGCCCGGATTCTGGGGTCTGATGAAGCGGCGCTTCGAAGGAAGAACTGACTTCAGAACACGCAAAACAAACGCCTCCAAACCTCACAAGATCCCCATCCACCCCCGCACCCCTCGCAAAAGCCTCGTCCCAACCCGGGGTGGGGGGAGGGGGAGACGAGGGGAGATTACAGGAAAAACGGGGGGGGGGCAGAAAAGTTACTTTATTTGCAGACGGAATTTTGCAGAGGTGATGTTTGACTGCCGGGATTGCAAAATGAATTTTTCATTGCATTTGAGGAAAAGTGGCGGCTCCTAAGCACAGCGAAAAGTTCTGAGGCAAGATCTGGTCAGGGGAACCGTGGTATAGCCAAAAATACATCTATTTTCCCCCAATAAATCTCTCAGACACCAGGCTGACAGCACGGCTCTAAAGACGGCTGCGTCGATCCGGTCGAACGAGATCTGACGCGTGCCCCGAGGACCGCGGTATACAAACCAGTTCTCCCAGGGACCCGCCGGCTTCTTCGCGTCTGGACCACCGCGCTCCGTGCGCTCGTGGCCCGCAGCGTACGTGTCCCCGGCCTCGGCGGCGCCGGCCCCTCCGTGGTCTGCGAGCCGTTTTGCACCGCCGTCGCCGAGGCTCGGGTGCCCACTTTCGGAGAGACCTGGGCCCCTTTCTCTCACTTTGGGGGTTCCTCGAGCTGTTCCCCAGTCTCGCCGCGCGCAGCCGCTCCACCCGCTCTCTCCTGCGTGCCGCGCCGGCGGGTCCAGCCCCGCAAGCCCACCGCATCTCCAGCTCGGAGTCAATTCCCGTCTGTGATGGCGCGCCACCGCCGCCCGGGTCTCTTCCGTGGAGTCTGCGCACGGCCACGCCCGGACACATCCTGGCGGGATTACAGTCATTCGGGGGGCGAGGCTGCGCTCCTCCCGGCTCTGCGGGCCGGCAAGGACGTCCTCACAATCCCTAAACTCCTCCTCGAGTTTCGTTTCCGCCAGCCATTGAGAGAATGCGGGTACCTGTTTGGGGCGCTGGCGCCTGCGCCGTTCGCGCGCGCGCGCGCGCTCTCTCTCTCCCTTCAAAAACTTGATCTGTACCTCTCCACACCAAGGTGCACAGACGCCAAACAGTGATGAAATGAAAAGAAAGCCAATTGCCGGACTGGAGGTGGGGGAGAGATAGCGTCTCTGCGTGCGCCCGCCGCCGAGCCGGGAGCTGTAATTGCAGCAGACAGGGCAGGCTGGGGGTTGGGCGGAGGTAGCCGTGTATAAATAGTGAGATCTCAAATTGAAAGGCATAAATAACAGCTGGAGGGACCTACCCTCACACGGACCGTCCTCTCCGCGCGGGAGGCGTGCGGACCACAGCCCGGCTCCCAGCCAGCCCCGCCGAGCCCCGCGGACCCCCGCAGCCCCGGGCAGCCATGGAGGAGCTCACGGCTTTTGTATCCAAATCTTTTGACCAGAAAAGCAAGGAGACCAGCGGCGGCGGCGGCGGCGGCGGCGGCAAGAAGGATTCAATCACGTACAGGGAAGTTTTGGAGAGCGGACTGGCGCGCTCCCGGGAGCTGGGGAGCTCGGAATCCAACCTCCCGGAGATAACGGAAAGCAGCGGCCACTGTCCGGTGCATCTATTTAAGGACCACGTGGACAACGACAAGGACAAACTGAAAGAGTTCGGCGCGGGGAGGGCTGCGGAAGGTAAGCTCGCCGGACGCCGGCTCCGGGCCCCTCCCGGGGACGGCGTTTCCTCGCCTCGGAGCCTGTCCGCCTGCCCTTCGTTCCGCGCGCGAGGAGGCCCCGGGCGCCGCGGATCGCTCTCAATTCGATCCCAAACTCTGAATTCACAGCCACGGCTCGGACGGAAAGGCCCCGGCAATCCACCGCCAGTCTTTTCGTAAGAAGGAGACCAAACGGGGGGTTAGGATTCGGCAGGAGAAGCGAGGAGACAGGGAGAGAGGGAGGCAGGGGAGCCGAGGATGAGAGGAGGCTGAGGCCGCGCTCCGCCCGCCGAGCGCTTTCGCTCAGGGGCGTTGGCATTGGGCGCCGCAGCCGGAACTTTCCTGCGTTGGGGTGAATCTGGGTGGATGTGCTTGTAAACCGAGGCCGCAGGGCTGCTGGGCGCGTGCCTGTCTGCCTGTCGGTCTTCCTTGCATCCGTTCCCACGGCCGCGGAGAGATCCGTGCACACCTCTCCCGGCGCCCAGCGCCTGCCGGCTTCGCGAGCTAGAAACCGGCAGCGGAGGATGGCGCTGGCCGGCGGTCCCGGAGGCAACGCGCGCGGTCGCCTCTTCCGCCGCCTGAACCTCTCCGCACTGTTTCCTCTTCGGGAAACTTTCCCCTTGAACCTTGGGATTTGATCTTGGCTGCCGCGGGCCTGTAAATTAAAACCAGTCCCGGGCCCGCAGGTGGTTAAGAGTCTGCACGGGGCCGAAGGGCCCAGGGAAGCCCGTGGCCACGCGCCCTTGGCCGTCCTACCCAAGGCTGTCAGAGCACCGCCCGCCCCGCTGCAGGCCCACTGCATCCAGGGCCTCCTCCTCGCTGCTCCTCCCGAGATCTCCCGGGCGGTCCGTGCTGCTGTTGCATCTGGGAAGACTGACAAGGTTTACAAGGGTTCCCACAGCTGGACAGGAGTGGTCCCAACCTGGGGAATCTGTGCAAACAGGGTGTCCAGCAGCTATAAACCAGAGGAATAACGTAGGGGGCACCGTTTGAAACTGTAGGAAGGTCTATTTCTCATTACAAAGAGTGGGAATGAGGAAGCTTGGCACCTGGCCCCTGGGTCCTGTTTCCCTCCCTGTCTGTGCTGCGAGGGGTCGGGACAGGAGCCTATGGTCCAGTGACCCTTACTGCTTGGTGGCAGAGTCCTGGTGCGCTGGCTTTGAGGTCAGGAGGATGACTCAGACATCTTTCTGGGACCTTGACTTTGCAGGAGCAGAAAGCTGGCACGCACAGAGGCTTAGGAGTAAGGCTCTGACCGCTGACAGTCCAGGCAGCCTGGGCCTGGCCCGCCGGACGTACCTCGGGGCTCATCCCCTGGCAAGACCTCACACACCTGGCTACTGAGTGCTTACAGAGAGAGTTTGCTCTGATGGACACACAGCTGTCCGTCGGCTGGGCACTCGTCATGGCCTACATTTAATTCACGGCACCAGGCAGCTGACCTCCCAGGGTTCCTGTTGGGTTCTGCCATCCTCCTTAGAGGCTAAGCCCACTTGTCTGCATGCCTCCTCTCACCCCGGACAGCCGAAGCAGTGGAACCCTGGAAAAGAACCCTTGGAAGCAGAGCAGAGTGCAATGGAGGACTTTTCAAAACAGGAAAATAAGGCAAGATTAGAAGCCCAGGCAGGAATGCCCCCTCACCCTGCCCTCTGAGCTGCACCTTCTCCCTGGCCTGTCTGTGCAGACCCTGGGGAGGGGAGGACTCAGCCCCGGGCTGGATTTGCAGGACGGGAGCACAATGAGGTATGAAAGATCCTTGGGCTCCAGAGAAACAGAGAGGTCGCAGGCCTGCTGAGCCGGGCACGCACGGGAGCCTGTGGACTTTGTGAAGCGTGCCCTGGTATCTGAAGGGCTTGGAAGGCCAGCTTCTCATCTGGGACCAGTCCCTGGGGTTCAGACTTAAGAGACCTGAAGGAGGAAGCAGACTTGGGGCTGCCTCTGGGAAAGGACTTACTGTTAAGGTAAAATAGGGTGTTCCTGGAAATGCCTTCCTATTAAGAGGTCAGAGGGGATTTTAAAATCCCAGTTGGGATTGAGTGCCCAGTGCGCAGAAGCCTTCAGGAGACACTTGCAGGCAGACTGAGGGCTTGGGTTCTGGTGTCCAACTCAGGGGCCCCACCGGGTATGTGAGCGGGGGCTGGGGGCCCGGGGTTTCCCCTCGCCGCACAGAGGAATTGGGTCCTCCTCCTTTGCAAGTCTGGGGTTATTGCTAAGGGGGTTCCACAGCGCTTTCAGAACTGGTGGGACCCCAGCCTCCTCGGACAGAGCCCCCTGAAGGCCAGTCTCTTCTCCTTGACACTTAGGGGACATCTAACGAGGGCATGGAGGTGCTCTTTGCTTGTGGCCAGCAGGCCCTACGACGGGCAGGAAAAGCACAAGGAAACCCAAAGTCTGCCAAGACGCAGCTCCGACCCGCTGTGCAGCAGGGGCCACCCTTTATTTTAAGCCCCTGAGCTGGGTGAGGGGCAGCATTTCCTAGAGGTAGGGAGGACAAGTTTTTCGGTTAGAATCTCCTAAATCCTGACCTTACTGCCGGATGGCCTGCCCCCGCCCACAACAAACACAGCAGCTCATAATTTTTGGACATAAGAAAGTGCCACCCTTGGAGTCCTGGTGGGATGTGAGAATGTATGTCCAAGAGACAGCTGGGCCGCCAAGGGAAGCCAGGAAGCCAGGGGACTGTGCTCCGGGGTGCTCCGCAAGATATGTCTTTGCTTTCCTGGTCAGAAAAAGACCAGTGCCCAGGCCGCGGGCCCAGCTCCTCGGCGTCCAGAGGGAGGCTCCGGCCCGGCTGGCGCGGTCCCCGTCCTGCTGCGCTGCTGCGCTGCTGCGCTGCAGGCTTCCCCAGGCCTGGACCCCAGCCTGGCCTGGGCTCTCCCTGCGCCCTTCCCAGGCGCCCCACCAGGGACCCCACACGAACGATTCTGCTTAAGCTTCTTTGACTTAATATTTAACACCCTACTCCCCTTCGGAAAAGAGAGCGAGAAGGTTACGCTATGTCAATATGTCAACAG